CATCACGGCATATCATTTGGACACTCATTGAACAAGTTATTAAGAAAATCTCCTCCTTAAGGGGGTGGGCCAATACTACCACATGGCATATATCTACCAACTAGAGGCCTAGGAACATGAACAATAGCTCTAGACTTCTACAACCCTCTATGATTCATTACACATCATCGCTCCTTGGTTACCCACAAGATTGGTTAAGTTATGACATAATTTGTCTATAGGGGTACTCTGACCTTGGACCTCCTTTCACTTCCTATAGGCAAGGAACCTAAGAGATGGTTCTATGGGATTCTCTTACGTTGACTACATTTACCAAGCCTGGTTAGTCATGGAAAGTCTTGGAAAATGAGAGAACTACACTCCTTTGGCATAAATAGGATTGCCCTTTCCTTAAGAAAGGGCAAGCAGACAATACAGTAAATCGACTAGCACATACTGCTACGTCTTTTCCAAGCTTCCAAGCATTGATCTTGTTATTCTTTGTTTCTGAAAAGTCAGTGAGGTGCTAACCTCTAACTTACCCCTGAGTTCTCAGACTCAACATTTGTTACAACTTGTCTAAACCACTTCACTACATCATACACCTGATTGCTGCGCTGTGGAATAGTCTAAGCTACAACCCTTTGGCTCTGTTTCCTAAGACAGTGTGTTGTCTTAGTAAAATCATCCCTTCCTTGGGTGGCTAGATTCTCACATCTGGTGCACCCACCATTACACTAGAGCAGAAACACTTCAAGTTCCTTATGGTGACTAGAGTAAGTGTTAGGCAACTTGATGTGTAGGGTTTCCTAGAGTTCTATAACAACTGTCTTGGTGTTAGGCATGTCTTTGTCCTAAGGCAGGATCGCCTAAGATGACGTAGGCATTAGTGTAGCTAGAGTTGGTGTAGCTAGAGTTGGTGTAGCTAGGGCAGCCCTGATGTTTCTCTTAGATCCTATGTAGAAGTGGTGCTTAAAGTGTAATGCTAAAATGATAGAAGACAAGAGGTTTCTTGCATAAGGTTGACTTAACAGAGGAGGCAGGGGATTAGACACAAAGTCTTTCTAAGTAACACATTATAGTATTGTAAAGAATTGTAAGGATGCCTCCGCCCTGCCTCCACCCTCAGTGACAGAAGGGATCTGAGTCGGATGGGTTATGGTCACGTGGGGAGAGTTAGGGCCGGTTAGCCAAGTCGGACCCATTTCGGGTACTTAAGGGGATTGACCCAATGGGGTTCCTCATCATCTTTTTTGTATCCTTCGTAGTAGACCTATAGGATAGCATCCGTTTAGCCTCCGACTCGCACTCTCATATGCTATTACTGTGAGCTGGGTGCCCTGTGTCCTTACAAGAATACTATATTAAGTTGAGCACAAAGCTCCTATCTAAGGGAATACTATCTACTTATATAGTAGTGTCATGCCAAGGGGATATCAGAGATATCATAGATAACAAATATCTAACATATCCTCTGCTATCCATCACGTAGGGTATGGAGGATATCATGGATAACAAATATCCAACATATCCTCTGCTATCTATGATGTGAGGTATCTAGGATATCATAGATAACAAATATCCAACATATCCTCTGCTATCCATCACGTGGGGTTGCAGCTGTAAACGCTAGCTGTAACAAAAATAGGGTAGAGCGTTCGCTATCCTAGAGCTTTCTCTATACATGTATGTTAATGAATTATCATTATCATTATCTTGCTGTGTACATTTAATAGTAACAGTCCTTTCCTTATTTTTAATAGTAGGGTTAAGTTCTTTAATAAGAAGACCTTCTTTAAAAATATGAGGTTGACTTTCTAGAATATTATAAGTTATAACAATCTATAACGTACATGTATAGCGAAAGCGCCAAACAAGCGAAAGCGCCAAAATTATCTACCCTCACGACAAACATTGCGATAAATCTACCACAACATTAGAAATCAATTGAAACTACTCGGAGTCCTCTTCCTCAGAGGTGTCTATTACAATCTGACACGTGCGCGCATTGTGCCCAGTCTCACCACACTTGCCACAGCGACGGGCACGGGTTTCTTCCCTTGGCTTCCGACCACGGCTTGCCCTTATTGCCTGCTCTACCTGCTGCACAACATCCCTCTCATCCTGTAGCTCTTGCGCCCCTTGTTGACTAAGTGATCCTCCTTGCTGTAGTCGTGTTTTCCTAGCTCTCCGGCGCTTGCTTAGTACTTCATTTGCCTGTCGTAGGTTTTGGTTCTCTCCCTTTAGCAGTGCTAATTGATGCATTATTTGCGATGCACCCTTTGTAAACTGGTCAACAGCTGCATAGATTGAGGTTGGAGAGCTATTTTGATGGCGTGAAATCCGAGTTTTAATAAATGTAGACTGTGACATAGCTTCAATTGGGTTGTTTGGTGTCTGAGAAACCCAAGGTTGAGCAGTACCTGGGCGGGAGCTTGGAGGCGTTGGTGTCCTTAACTTAAGATCAAGTGTAGATATCACTCTCTCAGGGTCAAATGGAAGAAGCCCTGCCCCTCGGAACCCGCCTCGAATGTTACTTTCCGTCATTGTAGTGTTAAATGCAGCGTGGAAGGCAGGAAAGAAGTCATCCTTTGTAATATGAGAAATATGAGCCTGCATCATATCTTCAATTTGCCGACCATAGGCCTGCTTTAACGGGCCGAAACAGCCAACATCAAGTGGCTGGAGTAGATGAGAAGAGTGAGCAGGCATACAAAGCGTAATAATGTTGTGTTCCTTGCAGTACTCCTCAAACTCATCTGAGTGGTGGCTCTCATGACCATCAAGGACTAACAAGCGATAACCACCAACACTCCGGGCCTTTGTATGCTTCTCAAAGTGCTGAATCCAATCCATGCCTCTCTCGTTTGTAGTCCAGCCATTTTCAGTAACAGAAATCACCCAATCGCTTGAAAATCCACTATTCTCATACCAAGATGTAAGGTGGTTTTTGCCTGCAACAATGATAAATGGTGGTACTGCCCAACCTTGAGAACTAACGCCTTGGATTACTGTAACCCATTCCCGATTACCAGGCTGTACCTTCTTTGCTTTTGCCCGCCCGTCTGAGCTTGTTACAACCATAGCAGTTGAGATAACGCCCATCATAAACCCAGTCTCATCAAAGTTGTAGATATCTGCTTCATCGATACCATATTTCGCAATTGTGTTACGCACAAGCTCAAACCAGCCACGTATAAGTTCTGGATCTTCACACTTAGCCCTCTCGTAGTCGTATTTGCGCTGAAAGCGTGTCTGGAGCTCTACACGCCGCTTAACAAAGTTTGAAGCCCAACGCGACCCAACGCGTGACGCGTCGCGTGTTGCAAGTAGTCGACTTGCCATATCTTCAACAACAGACAGCCGAGGAGGAAACCCTTTGGCAGCTAGGTCGAGTATATACTGAACAAGGACGGACTCCTCTAGGTTAGTTAATTTCCGTGAGTTGGCTTGGATATCGCGTCGTGAAGGTACACCATCTAGACGACGACCTAGCTTGCGGTGGTCCACAGAATAGATCCTAGCAGCAACTCGAAGGCGTAACTTTGGGTCGCTTTGCATAGCCTGAATAGCTAGCACTAATTGGCTTTCATCGTTTTTATGGGGCATGTTTTGTTGTTGAGGAATTTAACATTTAGTTGGGGGGTTTGGTCACCGCATCATTTTGGCGCTTTCGCTTGTTTGGCGCTTTCGCTATACATGTACGTTATTTCCACTTTTTTTTTATCTTATCTAATCTAATCTTATCTATGTACTATTCCTAATATAGTAATTACCCTACCTAATTTAGTTAGAGCCATCTATATTCAAATATTTATGAATATGAATATGTGAATAATTTTTATTCATGAATATGAATATATGTAATGGTGGGTGCACCAGATGTGAGAATCTAGCCACCCAAGGAAGGGATGAATTTACTAAGACAACACACTGTCTTAGGAAAAAGAGCCAAAGGGTCATAGCTTAGACTATTCCACAACGCAGCAATCAGGTGTGTGATGTAGTGAAGTGGTTCAGACAAGTTGCAACAAATGTTGAGTCTGAGAACTCAGGGGTAAGTCAGAGGTTAACACCTCACTGACTTTTCAGAAACAAGGAGTAACAAGATGAATGCTTGGAAGCTTGGAAAAGACGTGGAAGTATGTGATAGTCGATTTACTGTATTGTCTGCTTGCCCTTTCTTAAGGAAAGGGCAATCCTATTTATGCTAAAGGAGTGTAGTTCTCTCATTTTCCAAGACTTTCCATGACTAACCAGGCTTGGTAAATGTAGTCAACGTAAGAGAATCCCATAGAACCATCTCTTAGGTTCCTTGCCTATAGGAAGTGAAAGGAGGTCCAAGGTCAGAGTACCCCTATAGACAAATTATGTCATAACTTAACCAATCTTGTGGGTAACCAAGGAGCGATGATGTGTAATGAATCATAGAGGGTTGTAGAAGTCTAGAGCTATCGTTCATGTTCCTAGGCCTCTAGTTGGTAGATATATGCCATGTGGTAGTATTGGCCCACCCCCTTAAGGAGGAGATTTTCTTAATAACTTGTTCAATGAGTGTCCAAATGATATGCCGTGATGTATGTAGCATAAACAGATGTAGTAGAAGAGTTTGCAGCAATCGTTGAGTAGTATTGCTCTTGTTGTTGGTGTGATAAGCCAAAATATGTATAGTGACTTGTAGGTTTGAGGAGGAGATTTCCAAGTTTGCTCTTGAGTTTGATAGCAAACTGAGTGCAACGAATGTCAGTATAACAATATAGCCTAGTATTCAAGTTTATATTCGAATTCTAACCCTAGATATACTTAAAAATTAAAAACTACCAACGCGTTAGAGGCAAAAAATAATAATATAACAATTCAATGTTACAAAATAATTAAAACCTATCTTAAATGTAATTTAACTTTTATCAACATTTTTTATTTCATCCCATGTCGAGTCACACGGGTATATTTGCGTTAACGTTGTGGCGTAGAAATCCGTGCCCTGTAATTGGGGATCTTCAAGTCCCCATCCGCAATTCGGACCTGCACGGAAATATGTATCCCCCGTTCACCGCCGCCAAAGGTTCCATCTTCATTTTATGTGTTTTAGATTCGGCTCAACACATCTCAGAAGACGCCATCTGCTTATGTTACCTCCCTCTTCAGTTGAACTTTTAGTATCGAGTCGATATTTCTTTTCAATTGACACATTCGTTTTTATCCACGGGAAAATCGGGTCTCCAGCTCCAAATTGATCGTTGAAACCCCCCCCCACGACCGCCAACAACCCCCTTTCTCGACATCAACCTGCGACAGGAAACTTGGCAATAGTTCCGAATTCTACCTCGACTACCAGTGTTGACCTCGTCGACCCCCGATAGCTCGAGGCCCAATCCGCCTCAAATTATCACCATGAGCAAACCGGAGACCGATGCGACGCCGATGGAGCTCACAGAGGAGAAGATGCAAAAACCCGGGGCGCCTACAACAGAGCAGATGCTGCCGCACGGTTCAAGCGTGAATATCGCCCGGAAGGCGAAGAAGAAAGCCGACGGCCCGCTGAAGATTTTGGCAGGCTGGCTGCTTGATAACCAGACAGGTATGTCGCGAAATTCTGTCGACACCAGCTCGGTGTGACTCCCCCCTCATGTCTCCCATGTACCTCATGCGCTGCGACACGAACATTTGCTGACGATGGTGTGCACCAAACAGGCTTCGCTTTCAACCTCATCGCCCTCCTTTTCCTCACCCACATGTCCATGTCGAAAGCCCGGCCATATACCTCTAAATTCTTCACGCTTTCACACTACAACCCGAACACTGGCAAATATGCTGCCGGCCACGACGACTTGTTCTTCATGACGTTCTGCATTGTGCTCTTCAGCGGCCTTCGCGCAGGAGTTATGGATTACGTCCTTGCCCCGTTAGCCAGGGTGTGGGGATTATCTAAGAAGAAGGAAGTTACCAGATTCGCCGAGCAAGGCTGGATGTTGATATACTACTCTGTGTTCTGGCCCTTAGGCATGGTATGCTCCCTCAGTTTCCGTGTGCCTTGCGAGAAGTGCTGCGATTGACCCTTTATAGTACATTTACCGCAACTCATCTTACTTCCTCAACATGGACGAGCTGTGGACCGACTGGCCCCAGAGAGAGCTCGATGGGCTTATGAAGGGATATATGCTTGGACAGTGGTCTTTCTGGATCCAACAGGTTCTCGTTATTAATATTGAGGATCGTCGAAAGGATCATTGGCAAATGTTGACCCACCACCTCGTCACCATCGTCCTTATCTGCGCTTCGTATGCGTACCATCAGACCCGGGTTGGGAACTTGATTCTAGTGATCATGGATGTCGTTGATTTGATTTTCCCCGTAAGTCATACGAAATCACACGCCGTGTACCTATACTGATAACCACAACAGCTCGCTAAATGCTTTAAATACCTCGGATACACCACAATCCCCGATATCTTATTCGCGGTGTTCGTAACCGTGTGGCTCATCACGCGCCACGTATTCTTCCTTATAACCTGCTGGAGCGTTTACTCCGACTTACCCAGGTTAATAACATCGGCCTGCTACAGTGGCTCCGCGGACAACCTCCAGGGCCCCCTCGCAGTACCTGGCGACTGGTCTCACCTTCTTGAGCCCTTCCGCGACTCCACGGGCATTGTCTGCTTCAATGACAATATCATGCTCGGCTTCCTGTATTGCCTCCTCATCTTGCAGGTCATGATGTTAATCTGGTCCGCCTTCATTGTACGTGTCGCCGTGCGCGTGCTCCAGGGCCACAGTGCGGAGGATATCCGAAGCGACGACGAGGGCGAAGAAGATGTTGAGGACGATGAGCTCGAGATTGAGGCAGGCCACCCACTCGAGGAGGAAGTTGGCGTCGAGGCAATCAACTTGAAGGGATGGGAGCGCCGCAACAGCATTAAGCGGGCCGGTAAATCTAGCGGCATTACGTTGCCCAGGCATAGCGGCCCCAAGGAGCTGCTCAATAGGATTGGATGCGAGAAGCAGATCGACTGATGGACATCTTTGATGATGGCCATCTCATACTGCGCCAAGAGATCTGGGGAGATCAGACGCAGAGATCTGAATTGGTGGATACCACCTTTTGGGTCAGCTTGAAACGCCTGGGGATGCTTGGCGTGGCACGTTACCCCGTCCGATACTGTTGTCGATACGATACACTAGGCAGCACTGTGTGTTGCCCGTCAATCCCCAGGCGACTGAAAAAGCAGTAATGGGGCACACCTGGCGCCGTGTCGTGTCGAGGGATCTGCGTCCAGGGGACGTCGAAAAATGCGGTCGGTTATTCAATTGGAGGTTGGGTCGAAGATAGAGAACACGGGATATCACTTTTTAATAATCAAGTTAAGATACGGCGTAACGAGGATTGGAGGACTCTTTATTCTCAACAGTGAGAAGTCCTAGATGTATATGGCGTCAGGTTACTAGGACTAGGTTCAATGGTGACGGGTGTTTGCAATATGATAAGCTGTATATATGGTCTGGAGGAATAGATGTGCCGGGATGTTAGTTGGAGTCATCTCGATGAAGCTTAACTCGAGATAACAGGGAGCTCATCCCATTTCATCAGCCCTTGCTGACATAATCATCCCATCGACCAAACCTCAGCCAAATCTCAGGGGCACGACCCGCATTACCAACTTCGTCCTAGCGTGTCAGCCTAAGAGGGAGGTACCTTGGGGGAGTAATGATAAACCCCGAAATACCGGCGGCCCGCGACCTCCGAGGTGGACCCCGGCTCCCATAATAATTTCGAATTCTGACATTCTGACATTTCGAAGACTTGTCAGCAAACACAAAAAAAGGCCGGCAGTGTTTGTTACATTAGTCCATGGCTGCTATTGTGTCCTTTCTCTGTTGCATTGTGTCTAATCCGTCCGTGCCGCTGTGGCCCACGAAGCAGTTGACAAGCAGAGTTGCAGGTCATTCGAAAGGGTCCAACCCTGACCGTCCTCGAACATCTGTCCGGATCATACAGTCCATAAGGCTTCATATTCTCAGACCTCGACGGCCTCTGCCATAATATCATCTTCAGTCCGCGACAATGGCTCCCTCTGAATTCTCCACGCCCCTCATGGCTTCGGTGGAGCAGGTGTCCCCAGCGAAGAACAGTAAGACGTCTCCGCGGCGTAAGGAAACAAGCGGAGGAGACAAAGACAAGAAGACAAGCTCACGAAAGGCTGGGCCCATGAGCATCCCCTCCTATGACCTCCCGTCGATACCGACACCTAATGACGATGCGGACAGCCTGAGCAAAGAATCGAGGTTCTTAGAACGGAGGAACCCCCCTTCTTTTCTGGGTCGCTGCAAGCACGTTGTCACAAACCACTCGTGGATTATTCCTCTAATTATGATGCTCGCCTTCCTCTCCGCATATGCCTACAACCCGACCGAGTCCAACATCGTCTGCCGTTTCATTTTCCTCTCCTACGCACAGGAGCCTCTGGAGGGTGCCGACCCCAACGCACCCACACAATACGGCAAGGGCCTCTGGGATATCGCATTTGTGTCTTTCTATACCATCATTTTGTCCTTCACTCGCGAGTTCATCATGCAAGAACTACTACGACCGCTCGCCCGCTACTGTGGTATCAACTCGCGCGGAAAGCAGTACCGCTTCATGGAGCAGGTGTACACAGCCATCTACTTCTCACTCATCGGATCCGCTGGCTTATACGTCATGGGCGGGACGCCGATGTGGTACTTCAAGACGCACGGCATGTACGAGTTCTTCCCGCACAAGACCCACGTGGCCATTTTCAAGTTCTACTACTTGTTACAGGCGGCGTATTGGTCGCAGCAGGCTATTGTCATGTTGCTGGGCTTGGAGAAGCCGCGGAAGGACTTTTATGAGCTCGTGGCGCACCACATTATTACGCTTACTCTTATTTCCTTGAGCTACCGATTTCACTTCACGTATATCGGTCTTGCCGTGTACATAACTCATGATATCAGCGATTTCTTCCTTGCTGTAAGTTGAACCGGTTTCTTATTTCTTCCCTGCGCTCTATGGGGACTTCAAGGGCGGTGCTAATGATATGCCTGCAGGTATCCAAATCACTCCACTACATCGACTGTCCCGTGGTAGAGCTGTACTTCGGTACCAGCATCATCTCCTGGATCTACTTCCGCCACTACCAGAACCTACGCTTCATCTACTCGCTCTTCACCGAGTTCAAGACCGTCGGACCCTACGAACTCAACTGGGAGACGCAGCAGTATAAATGCACGCTCTCCTTCGTTATCACGTTGGGGCTGTTGCTCATGCTCCAGTCCATCAACATTTTCTGGCTGTACTGCCTTCTGCGCAGCGCCTACCGCTTCCTTGTGCACAACATTGTGAAGGATGACAGATCAGAGGTCGAGGAGTCGGAGCTGGAAGATTTGGAGCGCAAGAAGGCCCGGAAGGAGCGCAAGGAGGCAGAGGAACGTAATAGGGTTGCGGAACTGCTGCTGTTGAACGGCAATGGGTCTGTTAATGGTAGTGCTAAGAGTGTGGCAAAGGCTACTGGTAGTGAGAGTGCGTCAGCGTCGAAGAAGAGGAAGAGCGCTCCGCGGCGATCTGCTGCAGCATCCTCTTGATGGGATTAAATGACCTATGGCATAGAGGGAAACGGTCGATAAGTAGTAATTAATAATGTAATATAACGTAACGTACATGTATAGCGAAAGCCCCAGACAAGCGAAAGCCTCGCTCAGATGTGCCGACGCGACAATAATTGCGATAAATCCACCACAACACTAGAAATCAATTGAAACTACTCGGAGTCCTCTTCCTCAGACGTGTCTATTATAATCTAACAAGTGCGCGTATTGTGCTTAGTCCCACCACACTTGCCATAGCGACGGGCCGGGTTTCTACCCTTAGCTTCCGACCACGACTTGCCCTCTGGGTAGTCTTGTGGATTTGCATCCACTATAATGGGCCGGATGAGAAACCGGCAGTTGTCCATAGGTTTGATAAGTGTAACTTTTCAGAGACAGAAGAATTGGCCGAGTCTAAGAAAGGGGCAGTGGTCCATGAAGGAGATTTTAAGAGGATGGTAGAGGAGAATATTAGGCCATACTACAAGTCACTTCAGCCTTGGGCTCTACCTGCTCTATAACATCCCTCTCATCCTATAGCTCCTACGCCCCTTGTTAACTAAGTGATCCTCCTTGCTGTAGTCGTGTTTTTCTAGCTCTCCTACGCTTGCTTAGCACTTCATTTGCCTGTCGTAGGTTTTGGTTCTCTGCTTTTAACAACGCTAATTGATGCATTATTTGCGATGCACCCTTTGTAAACTAGTCGACAGCTGCATAGATTGAGGTCAGCTATTTTGATGGCGTGAAATCTGAGTTTTAATAAATGTAGACTGTAACATAGCTTTAATTAGGTTGTTTAGTGCCTAGGAAACCTAAGGCTGAGCGGTATTTAGGCGGGTAGTTAGAGGTGTTAGTGTCTAAAACCTAAGATTAAGTGTAGAGATCACACTCTAAGGGTTGAATAGGAGAAGTCCTGCACCTTAGAAGCCTCCTTAAATGTTGCTTTCTGTCATTACAATGTTAAATGTAGCATAAAAGGCAGGAAAGAAGTTGTCCTTAGTAATGTGAGTAATATGAGCCTGTATCATATCTTCAATTTGCTGACTTTAAGCCTTTTTTAATAGGCTGAAACAGCTAACATCAAGTGGCTAGAGTAAATAAAATGAGTAAGCAGGCATACAAAGTGCAATAATGTTGTGTTCCTTGAAGTACTTCTCAAACTCATCTAAGTAGTGGCTCTCATGACCATTAAGGACTAAGAGGTGATAACCACTAACAGTCTAGGGCTTTGTATATGTAACACTACTTCCTATCTAATAGGATGCATAGAGGTTTCTTGCATAAAGTTGACTTGACAGAGGAGGCAGGGGATTAGACACAAAGGCTTTCTAAGTAACACATTACAGTATTGTAAATAATACTATATTAAGTTGAGCACAAAGCTCCTATCTGTAATGGTGGGTGCACCAGATGTGAGAATCTAGCCACCCAAGGAAGGGATGATTTTACTAAGACAACACACTGTCTTAGAAAACAGAGCCAAAGGGTTGTAGCTTAGACTATTCTACAACGCAGCAATCAGGTGTATGATGTAGTGAAGTGGTTTAGACAAGTTGTAACAAATGTTGAGTCTGAGAACTCAGGGGTAAGTTAGAGGTTAGTGTCATACTGACATTCGTTGCACTCAGTTTGCTATCAAACTCAAGAGCAAACTTGGAAATCTCCTCCTCAAACCTACAAGTCACTATACATATTTTGGCTTATCACACCAACAACAAGAGCAATACTACTCAACGATTGCTACAACCATCTATGATTCATTACACGTCATCGCTCCTTAGTTACTGGGCCGATATTACCACATAGCATATCTCTACAACCCTCTATGATTCATTACATGACATCACTCATACTACCACATGACATATCTCTACCAACTAGAGGCCTAGGAGCATGAACGATAGCTCTAAAAGCTCCTACGAACCTCTATGATTCATTACATGTCATCGCTCTTTAGTTACCCACAAGATTGGTTAAGTTATGACATAATTTGTCTATGACATAATTTGTCTATAGGGGTACTCTGACCTTGGACCTCCTTTTACTTCCTATAGGCTACGAACCTAAGAGATGGTTCTATGGGATTCTCTTATGTCGACTACAGTTACCAAGCCTGGTAAGTCATGGAAAGTCTTGGAAAATGAGAGAACTACACTCCTTTAGCATAAATAGGATTGCCCTTTCCTTAAGAAAGGGCAAGCAGACAATACAGTAAATCGACTATCACATACTTCCACGTCTTTTCCAAGCTTCCAAGCATTCATCTTGTTACTCCTTGTTTCTGAAAAGTCAGTGAGGTGTTAACCTCTGACTTACCCCTGAGTTCTCAGACTCAACATTTGTTACAACTTGTCTAAACCACTTCACTACATCATACACCTGATTGCTGCGTTGTAGAATAGTCTAAGCTACAACCCTTTGGCTCTGTTTTCTAAGACAGTGTGTTGTCTTAGTAAATTCATCCCTTCCTTGGGTGGCTAGATTCTCACATCTGGTGCACCCACCATTACACTATGCCATAGCACTAGCAGGAGTGTTCAATACCTCAATCTAGACAGTTGGAAAACCAGATAGGGGAAAGGGCAATCCTGCACCCTAGTGGACACCGCAATGCCAGGACGCCTACTAATGCCATCTCCTCTATAGGGACCTCCTACCTAGTAGTCCCTTAGAAGCCATACGTGAATTCCACAGCATAGTGCACTAGGCTAAATGGGACTACCAGAAGCAAGCCTAACCTAGACTTGCTAGTTGGTGAGGAAGCTGTTAATGAGCTATAGTAGTAAGAGTGGCTAGCCCTATGCTGTTATGTGCTAGAGGAGTTGGTTTTTAAGGAGGGTATCAAAGGCCCCTTAGACATCTATAGTGACCATTGTGACTTCCTTGCTAGCTGCAAGAGCAGCCTTAATGTCATGGGTGAAACAGGTGACAAGTTCTATAGCAGATCGTTTAGGGAGTGCGCTACTATGCTAGGGCCTGAGCTAGTAAGAGCT